CCAGGCTCTTTGTGCTGTGTGTGCACTGAGAAAAGTGCTTTTGGGGAAAATATGAGAAAAATACTACCCAGTTCGCCCTATTAAAATATTTTCGAATTTCGATTTTGATTTTTACATTTTTTAGAACACCCATTTTTAACTAAATATTTTGTAACTTTTAAAATCTTCTCTAAATAGCTGTGTGTTTTTTTCCAGTGCACTTGTACGTATGAAAGGGAACGCAGGGCGGACAATGTCACCACCAGCTACCGTTGAGCCACCCCCAAAAATTCAGTGTGTGTTATTGCTCTACGCCTGCCATTGTCCTCCGGCTCCGCCGTTACGCCATTGCCCCCGTCTGTCCGTCTGTCTGTCCGTAAGTCTGTCCGTTTGTCCTTGTGTCCGCCTGTAGCCTTAGCCATTCCCCTGGACGATCCGGCGATGGCTTGGCGCCTTGCCAATGAAAGGAGCAGACCGAACGGGTCCTTGTCCTTGCAAATTTATTGTGCTACCCACGCGACTTTGGCGCCAGCGGGTTAAGGTTTTCTTTCGCCTTTCTTCTTCCACTCAGCTACACTCGCAGAAACAACTGCGCATCGGGATATCGCTATTTTTGGGGATGACAACAATTCGGTTTAATGAGACGCGAAAATAAGCTGTAAATGTCAGAGGGGCACTAAAAGCAAGGCGCAATTCACAAACGGGCGAATTTTCGCATTGAAATTAAAACCGTATGTTAAACACATTGAATAAATGGTCATTTTGTGTGGTGGAAAACTAAAAAATCAATTTAAATTGCACACCTGTTTTCTTCCCAATATTAACACAAGTTTTTGCCATCATTAGAGGGCCTCACCACCAAATGGTGGCTGTAATTACTTTTCAATTGTTTTTTGCCTTTGAAAATGGCATTTAAATGTAGCCAATAATTGCATTTGTCCGAAATATATATATTTCTAGTTGTTAATAATAAATAATACTAACTAAATTATAGGTATTATTTTCTATTCTACCCTAACCTTCATTTTCCGTGTAATGGCTGTGTGTGTTGTATAAGAATAAAGGCCCCCCGAAAAATGTTCCAAGTTTAACAATTTCGTCTCGGGGGCCTTCATCGTTCAATTTTTAATCAGTCGGGCGCAATCTAGCCGGAGAAAAGTCAACCAGGGGCTTCATTCAACCGAACTTCTGACAAATTTCCAGCTTGCCCCCAGGCGGGGTGCTGCTAACCCCCACTGACCCCCTTTGATTTCCCCCCCTCTGTCTGTTTAAATAGAAATGTTGTTCATTTGAGTACTTTGTGTGCGGCTTGGCTTTTATTATGGCTAAGTGAATGTTTATGCCCGATTTCCCCAGCACATGTGTGCCTGCCCTCACTACTTCCCGAAAATCCTTTCCTTATCTCCATTGTCCGGTCCTGGAATCCCCAAATCGTCGTCCTCGTCGTCCTGCTTGCCGATATCCATTTTCATATTTGCCCAGAGCTAGGAAAAGCTGGCTAGCTGAAAAGCAGACGTTTTTCCCATTTTCCCATTTCGATGTGGCTCTGATTTCATTTCAAGTTCCTTTTCCTCTTTTCCGCTCTTTTTCCTTTGCTTTATTAGCCGGCGCAAGTTTAAAATGTTTTATTATTGTTGGCTACATTTAAACGATTCTCGGCGCAAAGGGAAATGGGAAATGGCTGTTGGGAAAGGGTTTTCCCCTTCCCATTCCCCATTCCCCATTCAAAAAAAAAAAAAAAAACGGAAAGCGACTCTGACTGACTGACTGACTGACTGTCAAATCGGGTGTGCACAAATCGTTTGCAGATAGACTTGCCCAAGGACCGGTTTTGGGTCACCATATATGAGTAAAGTCCCCGAAAAGAGCAAGAGAAAGAAAAAGAAGGAGGGTTAGGGTCAAGGGTGAAATTCTAATACAGATGATGATGATGAGATGTCTGGGCTTGTAGCCAAAAAACTTGTGTCTGGAGTGCCCAGAAAATGCTCACAAAAAATGAATGTCTTCGGCAAAGTCGTCTTGAATAAATGAATAGCAGAGATAAAGTGGAATGAGGGTAATTTCTACTCACTATTACTCATCTCTATAGTGAAAGGAGATAGAAGCGTTTCGAAAAGAAAATCTTTAAATAAGAAATGAAGAAAAATAAAATAATATTTTAAAGAACAGAAAACTACCAAATTTGTTGTTTTTAAATCTATTTCAAGATCTTCCCAACTTGCCTTTAATATCTTCAATTCAAGGTGAATGCTAGGCACTGCCGAATGAATGGCCCAAAACTGAATGAATGGGTGTGCACTGAATGAATACGAGTGCTCGCATTCTTGGTCGATTTCATAAATGACTCCGGAAATTCTCTGCGAGGAGCAGCGATTGAATAAGGAGTGCTATATGGCACATACATATAGTTGGGACCTCCCGATCCACACATACACTCGCACTCGGTCACTTATTCATAGAGCGGCAATGGACCATTCACACACACATATCACATGTGATATGCATCCATTCATTCAAACGGCATTGAATGCAGCCTGCAGTTTCCCTTTTCACTGATTTTCCCCCAGCTCGAAAGCCCAGATTTCCCTCCACACATCACATCCTTCATCCTCCATCCTACAGTGTTTGGCTTTCTCCCGTTGCGTTTATTTCACATGCTACTTAACACCCGAGGCAAATTAGTTGCGCCTCGGCGCAGTTTCGAATATAAATCAACACGCGGACAACAGCAACAGAAACGGAACAACAACATTGGGCGGCGAAGGAAACGAGTGCATAACTCAAGGAATCGATGCATTTAATACCCTGGAAAGATAACTTGGTCTCTATAATAGCTATGTGTCTTGAATATATCAAAACATTAAACAAGGACACATAAAAAACAAAATAAAAAAAAAATTTCAAAATTGTTTCACAATATTCTAATTTAATAGTAAAGCTATGTGTTTAGAACTAATTTCCCATTTCTAAAGAACATCTTGAGTTTATTTTCCCAGCCATCTGACCATCAATAATACCCATTAAAAATAATTTCGCCTTCGGAGGCATTTCCGAGTTTTTCGCAACAGATTTTTTATGGTCGCCGCCGAAATGCGAAATGCGAGAAGCGCAGGAAGAGCGGAAGGAACGCGAAGAGCGTGCACCCTGCGGCTGCCGCACATGTGCGACCCTGCCCTCAAGGGCTGAAGTGTGTTGCCCTCCCACTTTCCACTTTCTGCCATCCACTTTCCACCCCCCAACCCCTCGACGCACTCGCCTTGCATCCCCTTGCGAACCCTGTCGAATTGCATAGAGCATAAAGCATCGTTGCACTGGGAAAAATAACTTATTTCATTTAATTGTAATTTTATTTATTAAAAGGTGTTATTTACATTTTTAATACCATTAAAAAAATAATAATAATTTAAAAATGCATTCTTTAAATTTATAAAAAATGTTTTTGAAAAAGTCGAATTAAAATGCCATTAATGTAAATACTAAATATTAAATTATAATCTTATCAACAGAATTTCTACTTCTACAAAAAGAGTTTTTAAAACAAGATTTAATAATATTTCAGTTCCCAGAAAGTATGAAAAAATACTATTTAATAGCCACAAAATCTTTCATTTTTATTTCGAGTGAAGCTTTGGTTCGTACGCACAATTGTGCAAATTGACAGATTTATAACAAAATGCAATGAATAACGGTATTATTCACACACCCAGTAATGGGGAAGTGAGTGGAGTGAGGGGATTTAAGGGGGTGTTAAAGAGATGCCATGGTTGCATCTTTCGGTCTGCGGACATTTCAACAGGCGCCTTAATGTTCAGATCAGACACTCCGCTCCCTTTTCTTTCCCACCCATGCTTTATATCTGGGTTTTCGGTGGGTAATCCCCGTGACCAGTATAAAAATGGGGGCATATGTGGTCCCGGCATATCCGAAGTGCTGCTCTTCCCACACCCACAAAAAAAAAACTGATGAGCGATGCGGATTAGCCCAGTTTCAGTTATAAATGAATTTTTCTTATTTTTCGGTCAGAGGAAAAAAAAAAAATATATATAGAGGGGGAGGAAATCTATGGAGTTCAATCAGTTTTAATTGATTCATTTCGTCTGAGAAGGGATGAAAACATTTGCCCGCTTCTGCCGGATGATAATGATGATGTCGGGCTCAGTTAATAAATTTATTATCTTGGGAATGCGGAATATGTCTATACCTATATATCCCGCTCGGATCTCTGCTTCCTCGCCAGCGGAAGTATCTCGTTGATTGTGAAATGGAGCCATAAGCTATATAGCTACATGGCCCATGGCCGTGGCTGGAAAACGATGCCGCAAATTTATTATGATTAAAGTTGAAAAGTTGAAATTGATGCCCGAAAAGCAGAGAGAGAGTGTGGAGATGGAAGTGGAAGTGGATTTGGAGTGGTGGGGGTGGGAATATCGAGATGGTGACGCTGATAATCATGGCAGATGATCTTAAATGACAAAACGGCCATAAAAAGTAATCAACTATTGAAAGGGTTTAACACAATCACTGCAGCAATCGCAGGGATGGGAATGTCGTGATTTGCCATGAGAGGTTATATCAGTTAGAGGAAAGTGACTCTTGAATGATAAAAGCAGATTAAGGTTTGGTGCTCAGGAGAGCAAAGTCTATAGGAAAATATAAAAAAATGTTGAAGGTTTAGTACAGGACCTTTTTCCAGAAAAACTTAAGAACCAAAAAAAATATATATATAAAAAAAAATAATAAAAGAAGTATAGATGCAATAAATAGAAGTGGTGTCGACCTTATACATAATAATAATAAAAAATCTGTACTCAGTAGTATTAATTACATACTAAATATTATAGATACCACATAATATCAAATTGATCATTGTTTCATATCAAGTTTTTCTTTGGGTGTAGTTTGACATGACTACGTTCTATGACTATTTATATTTTGGGTTAAATAAACAACCTATTGGCAACTCTTATAATTCAAGGATTTAAGATAATTAAAAATATTCTTTTAACTTTAACGCCACTCACCATAACAATAGTCCATTTCTTGCAAATGTGACGCAGCGCCTTTTTGTAGCATCACGGTTTCATGGTCCAGAAGTTCTTCTTGGGTTTCGCTCCGGTGGACAGGGCCACGTTGCTGCTGCTGCTCATGCTCATCCCGCTGCCGCCGCCCACGGCCACGCCCACGCCGGGACCAACGCCCATGCCGGAGGCCATGGATCTGCCGGAGGCTCGCTGCTGATCCGCCGAGCAACGGCGTGGATAGTTGAAGGGCGACAGGGAGCCGCCTCCACCGCCCACAGCGCCTGCTGCCTCATGCATGGACATCATTACTCCACCACCACCTGCTCCTCCTCCTCCTCCTCCTCCTCCGCCGCCCACTGCCAAGGTCATGCCAATGCCCTGATCCTCGCCACAACTGGCCATGCTGCTCTTTGAGGTCGAGGTGCCCGAGGCAGTCGAGGATCGGCAGCTGCGCATGTTGTGCGGCAAGGTGTTGTTGTTCAGGCTGTGGTGGTGCAGCGCCTGTTGCTGCTGCTGCTGCAGCTGGTGGCTATGGTGGCTGTGATGGTGGTGCAGCTGGCCGGTGGGCGTGGCGGACTTGTAGTACCGCAGACTCTCGTTGTAGCTGGCTCCGCTGCTGCTGCCACTGCCGCTGAACCCCGAGTCCAGGTCGCCCTCGTCGAACTCCGGATTGATGCAGCTGCTGTGGCCGTGGTCCTTCAGCTCCATGCTGTTCAGGGTGCTCGACAGGTTCTCCAGGCTGGCGTGCGAGGCGGAGCTCGAGTTCGAGGCGATGGCCCCGCCAGCCGCTCCGCCCAGAAGGCCACCGCGTCGGGGTCTTTGGGCCGTCTTCGATGATCCGGCGGCTCCCGTTATGGACGCCATGGTCACGACGCTCGACGGACCGCCCACTGCGCCAACGACGGAGCTCGCAGAGGTGCTCGAAGAGGGCTCGTCGGAGCCCAAGGCGTGACTGGGCGACACGTCCGGCGGTGTGGGCGGCATTATCAGTGCCTCCAGCGATAGATTCAGCTCGTCGAGCACCCGAAAGTGATTGTGCTGCACCCGGCGCTGCTCCTCCTTCACATTGACGCCCGCACTGGAGCCGCTCGCAATGCGATTGTCCGACAGGACCTTGCGGATCTTCTGCTCGCTCACCTCCTCGTACAGATTCTCGGTGGTCCCGTAGCGGGTGGTGTAGGTGTGGCGGTCCCGCTCCTCGGCACTCGGCGAACTGGAGGTGGACTGACCACCACCACCACCGCTGTGATGGTGATGGCTGCTGCTCTTCGAGCGGAAGCTCTTGGCCAGCAGGGCGCGTATCGAGTTGCGTGGCGGACTCTTCGAGTGACCCGACTGTTGCTGCTGTTGGACTCCGGATCCGGAACTCGTACCCGATCCCGAGACGGATCCTCCCTGGGCGGCTGGCACATTCGTGTGGCACTTGGCTGCCCCCGGTTCGTAGTAGGCATACGAATAGACATGGTTGAAGGGCGCCGACGGTGCAGCTGCTCCCGAGCCGCTGGCTCCACTCGCTCCCGATCCCGAGGCGGAGCCACTGCCGCCCATTGCGCCACCGCCACCGCCACCGCCATTGAAGGCCACATGCAGCGAGGGATTGGAGGCGCCACCGCCGTGCGAGGGAGTGGCACTGCTGCTGCTGGGCGTCATTACGCCAGCGGCGAATCCATAATCCAGCGACGAAGTGGACGACGACGACTGGGTGTTGGGCGTGGGCTCAAAGCGTTCCATGGTGGCGGCAATGTTCTTGCGAGACCACTTGACCTGGTTTGGGAAAGAAGAAAGTACGAGAAAGGGATTAGATTAAGAACCTAGAAAACGATTAATAGCACTATCGATACTATCGATGGCTTTAGGCTTTATCGAAGATTTGCTCGGAATATCGATGTTATCAATAAGCTAAATAATTTTATTAATTTTGGAAAAGAATAGTATCGCTCATTAAATATCAACATTGAACGACATATCACTTTAATTAGGATACAATTTAAATTTTAATATTGGTTCTGATTCAAGCATACATTTTTAATGTATCGATACTATCGATAATTTCGATAACCAAAAAAACGAGACCCACCTGCTGCTCCACATCCATCTTGTGGTTGCTCCGCCGGCTGTGACCCCTTCTCCGGCGCTCCGTGAACGCCTCGCCGTGACTGCTTCCACCCATGAGCAACTGATCCCCGATCCCGCCCAGCCCGTTTTGCGAGGAGGCCGACGAGGAGGAGGGCGCCGCCGGCATGCAGAACTCGATGCTGTCCATGTCGTCGGGGAAGATCAGATGCGAGCCGACGTGTCCCATGTGGCTGCTGCTGTTGCTGCTCCCGCTGTTGTTGTGCGAATGCGAGTGCGAGTGTGGATGAGGATGGGGATGACCCAAGGTGGCGGCCGCATGGCCATGATTGTGACCACCACCACCACCTCCACCCATTCCCAGGCCATGATTGTGACCCATGCCCATGCCGTGGTTGAGGGTCATCTGACTGGGATGCTGATGTGATGAGGCGGCGGCGGCCACCACCCGCTGGCCGTGGCGCATGGACATGGACCCACCGCTGGTCAGGCCCGAGGAGGAGGCCATGCCCACTCCCGGCGGCACGCTGTGCACCGCCACCGAGGTCGTCTGGTGCGGATGCTGGTGCGGATGTGGGTGCGGATAATCGCTCGCGAATTGCGGCGATCCGCAGCGATTCTGGAACTTGGCAGCCGTCGCTGCACTGCCTCCACTGCCGCTGGCCGGATACATAGTGTTGGATATCGAATATGAAAGATCGAATATCGCGAATATCAAAGGTCGATCGGAGTTTCTTGCGGAGTTTTCTCGATGAGAACTTTCGGCTGGGGATATCCGCGGTATTTAGCAGCAACAGGAGTCGGGCATCATCATCATCATCTGTGTGGGTAGAACGGAAAGCCATTAATCAGCGTGTGTAGGAAATAAAAGGAGAATGGAGAATGGAGAACATGGAGCATGGTCAAGTATTTTTCGGGGGAGATGCAGAGATGCATGACTGACATGCCATGCCAAAATCCCACAAATAAAAGCTGGAATTATGAGCAGCACACAGCTCCAAAGACCCAAAGAGACCCGCACCCGCAGTCGATTCCAATTTATTTATGCGCAAACATTGTTGCCACACTAAGTGGCGGCCGAGATGCACTCGGAAAAAATGGGACCAGTTAATGGGGAAATAAATCCTAATAATAAATAAAAAAAAAATTGATTATATAAATACCTAATAAAATCTAAAAAGCGTTTGGAAATTTAGTTTATAAGTCCTACTTTTAGTTTAAGAAGTCCTTTTAAATGTTATAATATTTTTTATTACATTTTTCCAAAGTGTTGAAGAGGCACGCATGTTAAACATTTGGCGTTGGCATGCCAGGTCCCAGTTTCAGTTTCGGTTTCGGTTTCGTTTCCAGTTCCAATGTGCACCAGCGCCCCTTTAGCTCCGCCCCTGTCCTAACCCTGCTCCAACCCCCTTCTCCCACTAAATTGTGGCCCTTTCTCCACGAAATGCCATAAAACAGCATTAAAGCTATTAACAGTCAAAGGAGAAATGAGCCAGCCGGGAAGCAGAAGAAGAAGGCCAAGAAGATGGAAGTGGGGAAAAAAATAGCTAGTGACGAGAGCCACCCTTAGCCCCCTCCCCTCCCCCAGCCATACTCACCCCCTTTTATGCGGGGGGAAAAACATAAATCAATCAGAGAGGGCGGCCTGCCCTTTATGAGTCGGAGTGGAACAGCGTGTGTCCAAGATAATCCTGGAAACAGACTGACAAAACCGGAACGTACATATAATAATACTTATATTTATATATACAAGTACACATAAGCCTAGCTCAAGGCCAAGTTTTTTTTCTTTTGGGGGGGTGGTAGGGGTCTATTAACGGACGGAAAATAATAAAACCATATCAAATATCGACTTAAGATGCGATGCTTATACTCGTATGTTTGTTTATTTGTTTTGTGGATATTATTGAGACGTCAAAGTCCTTATTTACCATACAACCAACGGGATATTAATAACTGCAAAGCCATAAAAACCAGAAAAACAAGTCATAAACAGAAGAAAAGCCCATATCTCAAGTATTTATTTATAGAATTATGATGCTATTAAATTCTTAAACTTAAAATATTAAACAAAATATAACATTTTTTTGAATAAATCAAAAAAAAACCTAACTGATGCTTCTACACAACTAATTAATGTCAATATCTCTTGTCGATGGAAAATATTCAGACTATTAGCGTTCACACCGCAGCACAACTCTTTTGGCTGAATCGCCCCCTGCTCCCAAATGGGCGGAGCAAACGTAAAAAAAAATACAAATGAATTTCCCTTCCTCTTGGCTGGATTTTTATTCGTGTTTTCCTTTTTTGGCCCTCACTCTGATTGATATATCAAATTGATAGCCATCCGCTGGTATATAGCGAAATGCTCTTGTTGCTGTTGTAGGAATACCCAATTTCCATTGCCCCGTAGATATTTCTATTTCGCCCCAAACCCTCCGTCCTTCGTCCTTCGCCCTCCGGAAAAGTCTAACGCTATCTCGCTTCTATGCCCATCTCTTTTCCACTTAACAAAGCTCGGAAATGTTTGTGCCTGCGTATTTGCCTTTTTTGTTTTCACCTTTTTCCTTTTTTGTTAGCTTTCCCATGTTTGGCTTAGAGATGAGCACGTTTCGAGATTTTCACGTGCCACGAGTTGATTTTAAATTTTAAATTTAATTTTTAAAATTTGTAAAATTATTCAAAGAAGTTTTTTAAGTGTATCCCAAATGGTTGTTTATCTATTAGCTATTAGGCAGTTTTAGGGTCCTTAACCCTTTCTTAAACTCTGATTTCCATAGGTTTTATTATTTTTAAAAGCTACTTTTAGTTTACCATGAGGATTGGAAATTCTCTTAAACGTCCATCATTAGATATATTTTCTTTGATTTATCCTCATGTTAAACTAAAAGTAAGTTTTAAACTCTGGTTCTTATACGTTTTTATTTTAAACCTACTTTTAGTTTACCATTAGGAAAAGAAATTCCCTTTAACGTCCATCTTTAGCAATATTTTCTTTTATTTTTTCGCTGTTTTGTGTGCTTTTTTTAGTTTTTAGAGTTGGCCATTTCCTTTTTGGCTTCGTTTTGTTTTGGCCGATTGCATTTCACATGCAAATTCTAACGAGTTGTTTGTGGTCTTGTCGAGGCGTTGCCAACAAAAGTAACAACAATTGCAACGCAAAAAACCATGATAACACGGCGGCAACAACAATGACAACAATATGCCGTTTATTTGCTACACTTTTGCAACATTTTGATTTTGCCTGATTGAGTTGGTTTGAGACCAACAAAAATGAAAATGGAAAAGAAAAAAAGGATAAATCCGAATGGAAACAACGGCCGGTGTATCGCATATTGATATGCATTTTTCAATTAAGATTGCGAATGGATTCATAAAACATATGTGGGCACTTGCAGAGATTCTAAAAATGTGTATGACTCACAAAGTGTGGCCAAGGTTTGAAAAATAAAATATGCAGGAGGGAAAAATATTATTTTTAGTGTGACCTTGCTCTGGGATAATAGTCCTAAATTGGTTTTTCTTCTACTTATATTTTTCGATTTTACTTGAAGTTCTTTGGGCAAATAAAATGAATTCTATTGCCTCTCTTAAAACTTCGATATCTTTATGGACCGATCTGGGTTGTGAAAACAATTCTTCCTCTTCATCGGAAGGCAACCACTTGCCTAATGCAATTTTCGAATGCAAAAGCCATAAAAATATCTATTTTAATCGAACACTTTGTAGAACTCCTTTTGCCAGCATCTATGTATTTTCACTATTTTTTTTACCTTTTTTGGGGGGAAGGGGGGGTTGCAGGTGAGAGGGGGTGGCAAAAGCAATTTAAAGTCTGCTGAATCTTGGGTTCATCCTCTTCCTGTTCGCTGTGTACTAAAAAAAAAAGGCAGCAGCTGCAGACCAGGCCCAGAATGTATCTTATGGATAGGATAGAAAACCCCAAGCTCCTCCTACTCCTCCCTCCCTTTTTCCACTGCATTTGAATGCCTCAGCTGCCTGCTGGCAATTCGATTTCATGCTGCAATTTAATTTGCTTCACTCTGGCCACACGGCACCACCACCACTGCTACCATCACCATCACCACCGGGGCATCGATTTGAAAAGCAAAAGTAACTCAAGGCGAGCTTCATACAACCTACAACCTACAACTACTACTGCTACTCCCCCACTTTGGCATACCCATGCACCTGGGGGAGCGGGAGAAAAAAAGGGCAACAGGTTCCATCCCAAAAGGCAGGACTCATTAGGCGGCTATCGAGTGCTACGAAAAAGCACTCATGAGTCGTCGTCGGCAGTCGGCAGTCGGTTGGTTTGTCATTAACACATTTTGTGCATGTTGTGCATCATTAGAGCAGCAGACGAGATGAGGTGGTGGATTGTGTGGATGGTGATGGCGATGGCGATGCCACTGCCGATGGAGAGAGGCCGATGAAAGGACCAATACACAGTAAGAAAAATAAAATACGACTGCTATTGATTTTGGAATAAATAAAGCAATTTTTACTATTAAATGATGCCAACTTAATATTGGAAATTGTATTTTTTCAAAATATTTTAAGATCAAAAACCATCTAATTGTTGGAAATTTTATATTTTGATCATACAATATTTTTAGAGTGTTTTTTTAGTTTGTTTTTTTTTTTGTACTAATTTTTTTATAAAGTTTTTTTTTTAGATTTAACTAGAAAAAAATCGTACAAATTTTTGTATATTTTAATAATAATAATATTTAATACTTTTTGATAAGAATACATACTTAACGAGAATTTCTCTCAGTGCAATCATCTCACATGTTTCGTTATTTCAACAATGCTCCTGACACGTGGCGTCTGCAGTTGGGCCACACACACACACACACACACACATACCTCATACCCATACCCATACTCACTTCGGTTCCCCTTGGCTCTACCAACTGAAATTATTCATTGATGTCAATGCCAAAGAGTAGATTTTCCTTGCCACTTTTACCCGCTTTTCCCCCCGCACCCCCCTTGTTGTTGCCTTGAGCTCGGCTGCTGCTGTTGCTCCTGCTTTTCAGCTCCTGCCTTTGCTGCTTGGCATGCATATGAAAATTGGCCAATTTGGCGCAGCGTTTGGCTTCACTTTGTAGTTGTTGTTACGTGTGTGAGTGTGCGAGTATGCGTGTGTGCCGCCACCCCATATCCTATACCCCCCACACCCCCCATCACTAAAGCAGACCCTGTATTATCATACACAGACGAAAATTATCATAATTTATTTATGATTTATTATGGCTTTCTAAAAAAAACTCTGTTTAAGGAAATTTTAATTTTGAAATTTTATAAAAAGGATATCTGTTTATTAAGAAATATTAATTCGAAAATGTATATTAAAGCTTATAAATTTAATATTTTTTGTTCATAATTTTAAATTATTAATTTCATATTAATCATTATCATTTAGCAAATTATTTGCAATTAACTTTTGTATTTTTATGTAACCATTTCTAACACAAAATATATTGGTTCCCAATTATAAAACTATTCAAATAAATAATATTTTGTGATTATGTTTTTGGTTCTGTGTGAATTTTGTGTGAGCCGCTCGCCATTTTGGCTTTTGTTTCCTTTTTCAGTGGCGTCCTCCACGTAATGACTTTAATTAACATACATACACCAAACTTTTCGAGGGCGGCGGGCACAAAGGGGGCGTGGCAAAGTGGCAAACGGGCAGAGGGGGGATCACTCAAGTGGAAGCTTTTTTGGCCAGAACCGAGAGTAGCAGGAAAAACACCCAAAATGTGGACCACAACTTGGTGGCCAATTGCAGCTGCAACAACAAATTCATGAACAGCATCAGCAGCAACAACAACAATAACATTTTGGCCAGCTTCACCAGAAACAACAACAAACGCTTAATGAAAGGGAAATGCATTTTGGGCCAGCTGGTATTTTAAGTGGGAAACTCGACTATATTGGACAATATTTGGCAAAATTAAGAAAATTAATTTAAATTTTTCGCAATTTTTTATAAGGTTTTGAATTTGTTTGGTCAAATGAACCCAAATCAAATAGGCGTACTGTTTTGAGCAGTTAACAACCTAATAATAAACATCAGAGCATTTTTCGGCTGATTTAAAAAAATAAATATGTGACCCAATTTTGGCATTTTGGATTTTTTTTGCAAAAATTGCAAATATTAAAAATTTCCAGGTTAAAATGCCAATCGATTGGGGATTTTATTACGAGTTAAACGAACGATCATTATTTCAATTTTTATGACCAATATGAGTCAATATTTGCTTTGTTTTAGCGAAAAAACCGTTTTTGTTTTTTTTTTGGAAATTTGGGATTTTAATTTTCGACAAAAATTTGAATTTTTTGCTGTAACTTGGCCAAAAATGATCCTAAACCAAAAATACATACTGTTTTGAACAGATAACGGAATTTGCAATAAATCCATAAAACTTTCCGTGTGATTTTGAAAAAATAATGCGTTTGTTTAGAAATATTTAAATCGAGGTAATATGCAATGAAGTGCCGTGAAGTTCATGCGTGTTGCGGTTACGAGAGGTCATTTGGGGTCAGAGGTCAGTGGGGACCAGCAGTTCAATTCAACACCCGATAATCGCTTCGATATTTCTTCACCCACACTTTTCCACCGCCTCATTTGACCCACCTGTAATTCATACAACTCATCGAATATTTGATTTCCAGGCTCCTTCATCAAGTCGACTCCCCAGTGCCCACTTGCCCCATGAACTCCGATCCAGAACTCCGCTTTTCCTACCCCCACACCCCACATTCTCCACCCTCTCTCCCTCTCAGGCAAATCTAACCAAATGCCAACACAAATTTTGTTTGCCTTTTGTATTAGGTTGACAAAAATCAACAGCCAAGCGGGAAAACAGGAGCCAAAAGATGAGCAGGAAAATGGGGGGAGGTGGGGTAGTTGAGATTGGCAGATTGTTGAAGAGATTTATGTTGGCACTACGCCCACAGTAGGGCGGAAAATGGTGAAAGAGGAGAAAGGGGGGAGGGGGGGGGCTCCAAACTGTTTGTCTTTCGCAAATGTTGGGCAATATTTTGCGGTAAAAGGTGAATTTATTAGCACTGGAGGGGAAGGAAAAAGGGGTTCACTTACAGTTTGCCAAGGAAAACCTCACCCCCTTCAATTCGGTTAAAGCTGATACTAACTAATGATAAAGAGAGATTCCACTTTACGCAGTATAAATAAAATGCAACCTTTATTAAGTTAACCAAATCATATTAATAACACAATATTCCCCGTCTTAAAAATCTTCTTATCGCCCAATGCTGTGGCAATTTAAAGCACATTTTCCCTGTCTTTTAGATCTTGACAAATCGTAAACAAAACGCTCGACGGACGACGTCCAGCTGCAGATACGTTTTGTATCTTTTTGGAAAAGCCAGAAAAAAAGAAAACCTCTTACCCCCAATCACAATAAAAAGCCACACAGACGATGAGATGCATATCACAGAAATATTGACCTGAAGATGCTGATGAAGAGACAGTTAAATACACACACACACACTGAAAAAAATTCCCGGGGGACGGGGGGATTATTTTTTGGGGGACCACAAGATACGCATCTTTCGGATTGTTGCTCTTCAAATTTCCCCCCTCTTTTCTTTTTGTGCGCTAAGCCGATTTCTGGGTTGACTTTTTTGTGTGTCTGTTGCGACATAAAACACAATAAAAGTAAAAAAAAAGAAATGAAAAAATCTGGGTGATGACATGGGAGGAGGAGCGGGGGCCGAAACTTTCATGTCAACGCTATCATTTTCGAAATTCCAATAAGTTTAGTATCAGTGAAACGAAGAAAAAAAGGTTCTGTTAGATAAAAGATTTCCCCAAAAATCTAAAAGAAAAACAGGCCTTTCTACTTACCGAAATTTTTAAAGAAATTCTCCAGTTACGATTTTTGCTCCAACTTTTGAACCTGTAAATACACAAACAGAGAAACGAGAAAATATTAGTACAGAGACGAAATTTAATTAGCATGCGTATGTATACTTTTCAAGTAGACTGTAGGAGCCAAAAAATACCCCAAAAACAAGAGGGAAAACTCAATCAATGATGGAAATGCTTAGGAATCAGTCGGAAAAGCGACCAGCAGCATTGTACATCAAATGTGACTTACAATGTCAGACCAAATGAAATTTTCCCCCTGGTTTTCCTCTCAGCTTTAGCATTTTCATCATTTCAAAGTCAAATGTTGGATAAATAAAACAGTTTTCTGTAGTTTTTCCTCTCTCCTCCTCTTTCCTTTTTCGATTTTTGTGTGTTTGAGTGTGCGAATGTTTGTGTTTGGTTATTTTTTGTAGCTTTTCTCAGAATTCATAATTGAATGTTTCTCTCAACTTTGTGGGGATGATATGGGATTTGCAATTGAATTAAATTCTGATGCCGTTTGTCTATGGAACTTTTGCTCGGCTTCTCGTCGATTGGCCTCGGATTTCTGGGATTCTCGTTTTCTGATTGAGATTTGAGATTTTTGCAGTTTTCGCAGTAAGAATGGATAATTGTGGCCAGCTGGAGAGTTTGCTACTTCTGGGTTTTGTATTTCAAGTGTTTTAGTCCCAAGTTTATTGTGGAGAAAGTTTCCTGTTTTTGGTAGCAGGAAATCCTAAAAAAACTTTTTTGTAGTATTTTTCAATAACCAAAAATTATCTAGAAATTTTATATTCCGGATTAAAGGAGTCCAAATTTGAATATTATATTAAACAATTACTATTTAAACATTTTTTCAAATATCTAACATATTTTCACCACTTTTATGTTTCCAAACCACTCTTTACCCACCTCCACTCGTGATGTAATATATTTTCTCCTGGGAAACCCAAACAACTACATCAACCAAATTGCTTTCACTGCAACCCGCAAAATGCTCAGTAATAAAAAGAAATTTTCTTAAGCCGCCGCAACAGAAAAAAAACGAAAATATATATATATACCCAAATGGGGAGCGTTTGTTGGTCACAGAAGTCCGACTTTCGCAGCCCTTCGCCAAGAACGACCAGCAGTCAAACCCCACAAATGTCATTGCAAAAATGTTTTAATTGAGCCAAGAATGAAACCCGAGAATGACAAAAAAAAAGAAAGAGCAAGTGAAAGTGAAAGCATTTTACACAATACAAATAAAATAGAATTTCAAACCACAAGCAAACGTGCGTTATTCATTTTTGAATTTATAACACAATTGGGAGGAATGCGAATGAATGTCGCCGGAGGAAAATGGAGGGAAATGGGATGAAGAAGGTGAAGGAGTGAAAATGCGCAGCAAGAATAACTGCTTGCCTTTTGCCATTTTATTTTCCCTTTTCGGTTTCAGTTGCTACCGCTTCTGTATTTTTTGTAGCCTTTTTTTTTAGGTAGGTACTTTTTTTATTCCCCCTATGCACACATAAAAATAGGAATAAATAAGGATGTGTGTGTGTTGAGGTTAGGGGCCCGGGAAAAAAAGTCAGAGGAAATCGTGTCGCGGCAAATGTGACAGGCGGCTACCGTTGCCATATAACCCACCCCTCCCACTTTTCCGACCGACCCCACTCCACTGGAATTTTCCACTCACACTCAGTCACACACGCGGCTTGCAAATGACTCGGGTTCGCGGTAAATTGACAAAAATGTAAAAAGAAAGCAGGCAGAAGGAATAAGCTGCTAAGAAGTCAAGTATAACCTGTGCAAACGATGATTATGATGATGATGGCAAAGATGATGAGCGGCGGAATGTCTGTCGCCAGTTGAGTTGAGTTTTCCGACTCTGACACCTTCGAGAATATTTGGCCTACTGATTTTTTCATGAGAATAAAATCAAATTAAAATAATTAGGCTCTCAAAATGATTAGCTAAATATTTGTAACCCTAATCAATAGTTATTGCCCTGATTTTCTCTTGTTTTCCTTTGGTTTTTATTATTCAACCCCCAATCAATGGCCAATTGTTAATCAATGATCTGTGTACCAAAATTAATCGTCAAAGAAACCGCCACCGAACTGAAGTCCTATATTCGATTCTCCTTTTTTTTGTAGTACTTTTTGGTCTCGGATGTCGGAAGACCCGCAGCTGAGACTCGCGAAGAGCCAGAGCAACCCTTTCTTCTTTTGGGCTACTGTGTCATGAGTCATGTTCTTTTCCTTGGAAGGGTTCTCTGTGCTCTGTTTGCCCACAGATAAACAAACTTGCAGCCGAGGCAAGGAATTTTGATATATGTAGTACCCGTGCGATTACAAAACACAGCTATAGTGAAAATAATAGGCAGTTCTAAAGCCTTTATAAAAAAAATAATATTAAGTTTACATTTAAACAAGTATCAATTAAACCTGATGAACCTAATGAACATCATATGATCTATATTATTTTTTGTATATACCTAGAGTACACCTTTTTGGCTCTATTATTTTGCGAGTTACTGTAGAGGGGAACACCCCTACTGCCTACCTACCCCTCCCACTCGTTTCCACTACAATCAACCAAGACGACCTTGTAGGGGAAAAATGAAATGAAAAAAAAAATATATATATATTGAACTCACACACACAGTGTGCAAATATGTGTGAAATTTATTTGCCACAGCCCCGTCATCCCAAAGGGTTTGAGGTTGAGTTTTTTTTGTGTTCCGCCCGTATCCGTGGAGTATATCACCGACAACCCTTTCGCCACGTCCCACGGGGTTGATCCGACCCCTACCCCTCAAAACCCCTTCCGTTAGCTTTGCTTGTTTAAAAATCACTTGATTGCACAAATGCTCATTGAGCTAATTTTATTTCGTGTACGGGGAGGTATAAAAAATGGGAAAAAAACCCAGAAGGCAACTTGAGCCACGCTTACATTTGATGGGATTCCGATTTCCATATGCCCGGGGTGAAGCCCTATACTACCTGACTTAGTCCCAACTTAACTAAATTATTAGCCGGCCACCTTCGACCGCTCGAAGAAGTGCTGCTGCCCAGCAATGTGGAAAAATGTGTTATGTCCTCAAAAACAAAAGGCAACACGGTTCGTTCGTTTGGGGGGAGCAAAGTGAGTTGATCAAATTACCAGAAAGCCGAGAGCCCGAATGCTCCTCCGACTTTGATGCACTTGAGCCGTGTCAGAAGTAGTCACAAAGTAAGCAGTACTGTCCCTTTTTGCGGGCTTTGTTGTTGACCTTTCCGGGGGTCACTTTAATTAATTACATGAAATGAGTTTTTTTGTGGCCCGCAGGAGGAGGAAGAGAAGGACGCGGAGGCCAAATTACACGGCTAAATGAGAGGGCTGAGGAAGGGACGACCAAGATGGGTTCTCAAGGAGAGTTGGTACACGTCTTCAAGTGCGTTTCAGTCTAGAAACAATTTGTAATTGCCTCCCTTTCAACAAGAACAACTTTTCACTTAAGGTAAATTAAAATTGGTGTTGGTGGTAAAAAAAAAACAAATTTCCACCTTGCTCATTTTTTAATTGCGCTTAAAGAGTATTTGGCGCCCCCGGGTGGACGGAGCTGTGAGGCCTATTTCAATCTAGCAAATTCATTGCTCGCAACTTATAAAGATAGAACCAGGGAAGCCCTTGCCAACGAGCTATGTAGTTCTCACTTGAAATGAGTTTCCGAGTGCGTGACAAAGTTTTCCACAGCCCAAGATCCATTTGCCGACACATCTCCCTTTGCAATTTCCTTATCCCGCTTTGAACTTCCATTACCCGAAAACTCCAAAAGCCAAACAACTAAAAAAGAAGAAAAAAGTACAAAAATTCCCTTTTGCAGCTTCTACTTCTTCGTCGTCTTCAGTTTTTTGGGCATGTTTGGCAATTAAATCATTTTGACCATAAATCGAATTTCGCAACACTGAATGTGTGTGCGTGTGTGTGTGTTCGGGCCTCAGTGTTAATCCAATTAACTTGGCTTGCATCAAACACATTCCTTTCCACCTATAGAACGAAGGCAGACCCAAGGAGAGCGAAAATAAATAAAGAAATGAAAACAGTTTCAAAGAAACTCAAACTTCAAGTTTTATAGTTCCCTGCTTCTGGCTCCTCAGTCTCTCTTATTTTTCCCTCCGGTTCTACTATACACTGGCTACAAATTTCATACGAAACTTGGCTCGGGAAAACTTTTCGCAGGCATTTCATTGGAATAACTTCCACCCCCGATCCGCCAGTAGCCTCTATAGCCCCATCCCCGTCCCTCTGGCAGATTGGCAAAGGTGGGCCATCAAGCCAGAAAAGCTTGTCCTGACAAATGTTTTCATTGATTTTTACGAGCAGTGAACGTATAAAATAAATTCACTTTTTCCTGTGTTCTTTATTTATTTTTTGATTTTTATGTTCTGCGACCAAAAAAAAAAACAAAAATCAGGACTCTGGTGTAAGCTGAGCCGAAAAAAGTCGGGGGAAAAAAAAACTTTATACAAAAATCTCTCTTGTTGTTTACTTTCGTTTGTTTTGCGTGTGTTATTGTTCCACACCACTACTATTGCGTCAGAGGCGGAGGGGTGGGGGTGTGGCAGAGTGTCAGTTTTACGATTACCATGCGGGCCCCACGTTGGGCGCCATTAACGATCTTTCTCCCTCACGTGTGCGTGTCCTGGTTGATGTGTCGTAAACGCATCATAAACAGCTGGTACTCGGGATCCCAACTCCTCCTCCTTGGACCCAACTGCATCATCATCAAAATTATACTTCATATTTACCTTTTTTTTTCGAAATACTCTTTTTTACACCCATGGGCCACCCAAAAGTAATGGACACTGATCTTTATCAACAGGTGTAGGAAGAGAGAAACCCTAAAGGGTTTGGTATAAAAGGAGATACATGGCAAATTTACAATAGGCTGTTAGGGTTCTACATTTGAAAGTCATAATTTTTAACATTAATATGCGTTTTTTGAGAACCTATAACCTTTAGCCTAATGAACAGAATTTTACAAGTACTGAAGATATGATCCATAAACCAAAATATCTT